TGCTCCATCTAAAATACCTGAGGTAGTTCATCTACTTAGATACTTACTGAAACGAAAAGAAAACAATAATCACCCTGGTACTATTTAAATCTATTTTTGCTTTTAGATCATTTGTATCATGTTATCAGAATCTAGTGTTTTTTGTAATGTTTATCCTTTAACGTGTTTTTGAACACAATATCCTGTTCTGAATTTATGATATATCTATTCTTTTCTTAGGAAAAGGTTTTAAACTACCTGAAAAGCCACCTGATCCAGGAGCATTTGATTCTACAGAAATAAATGAGACGGCTCATTTAACGGAAATGGACGAATATCTTGAATTGCTTTATGAAAATATACCCGAAAAGCTTAGAGCCTCAGCGCTTATTCTTCAATTAGCTCGTAATCCAGACAATCTAGAAGAACTATTTCAAAATGGTTTGAACTAACATTATTTTATCATATATTTTACCATCACTTTTTCTAAACAAATAGAGACTCTCATTGGGGCATTGGCTCGTGTTTTACGAGAGGATTGGAAGAAAAGCACAGATTTGGCTACAAACATCATCTATATATTTTTTTGCTTTTCCTCATTTTCCAACTTTCACGGAGTAATTTTGCATTTCAAAATAGGTTAGTGTACATCGGTTTGGTGAGTGTTTTTTTTTTGAACTGCACCCAATTATATTTTGTATTGACTACCAGGTGCATTAAATATGTCAATCATTGAGCATGAATTTCAAAAATATGATTTATGGTGTGAGGAATTGTCCAAAAAAAAGAAAAATGCTTCAGGGTCATTGGACGCTGCGAAAATATATGAGACAAGTCACAAGAAGTTTTTATCTTTAGTAAAGAAGCAGGAGCAGCTTTTTCGTGGTATGTAGTACTTATGGACACTTTACTGCATTAAATATAACACCTATTTGTTTTGTTTTAATTGTTTACATATATTAGATTATATTTTGGATGTAGTAGCTAGATTTATTCAAATATACTATTTGATCATTATGTTGATAATATCAATTTGGTGTATCTTCTAATATAGTATATAAATATAAATAAGCTGCCGATAGGTTATAAGAAAAAAAATTAAATTTTCGTTAAAATTCTTCATAAAGTTAAATATGGATATCGGAAGGCATATTCCTAATTAATCAATCTCGCTACATGAAATCTCAGTAAAGTGCTGTGTGTCTATGCAAATACATTTTATAGAGTTAAATTTATCTTTCTAGTGGACAAAGGCTTCAGATAAAGACCTAAAACTTTAGGTGTTAGCCACAAATTAGATTCCAATTCTTCTTATGAAAAGCGGCCATTTTCTTATTTTTGCATTTTTAAATCTAACGCGACTCACTAATATTGCAAGCACTCAGCACATGCGCAATGCAATTACATGCGTTAACATAGCAGAATTCAAAATAAAGAGGCTTTAGAGGAAGATGAAGTCACTTGACTTTGCTGCAAGAATGTAGGAAAAGGATAGAATAGCAAACTTATTAAAAGGCAGTCAGGCTATAAGAGGTATATAGTTATAAAACTAGCCACATTTCTTACCTTCGTACTCAACGAAGCATCACACAGCATGGTTTCTTGTTCTGAAGATGTCTTTCAAACGGCGGGCGAAAGCTCAGCATGGATTCATCGAAGTTTCGATATGATATTCTGAGGACTTATTCACACAAACCTACAGTCACAGCTCCAAGGCAAACCTTCTTCCATTTCCGATGATGCCGAAAAGATTTAGTCAAAAGCTTGGAATATACATGATTGTGGCCAGAAGGAGACCAACTTTGTTTAGAGAATTGGGCCTCTTCTTGATCAAAAAGCAAAGGTGAATAAGTGGGCAAATAAATATTTTATATGAGTTGTATTCACCCTATTTTGTTTTAAGTGATGAAGGACTGGTAGTTGATTTTTCTCACAATAATATGAGTAGAGCTGATGTTAACATTGAATCTCACATGGTATTGCTTTACCAAAAGTTCTTCTCATCCAGGATGGACTGCATCTTCGACCTCGCATAGGTTATCAACACCCCAAGCGGGAGTTGAACCATGACAGTGCAGTGTGTAAGATCGACACGTTAACCACTACGCCACATTGCCACGAGTGCCCCTGGCTCACAGGACAGATGTGAATTTTAAGGGATATCAGGCATTTTCCATATCACATTCTGTATTGAGATTGTCGATGAGGCAAACTTATATTTGCTATAACAATCGACGATATTACTTTTTTCGTAAGTGAGTAGGTTTTCTAGACTACCACTAAATCAGATATATGAGTTGTATTGAAATTAAAATATGCTCTGTGGCCCAAAGGAACTCATGGCAATGTCGCGTAGTGGTTCAACGTATCGATTTTATATGCTGCATTTTCTTGGTTCGACTCCTGCTTGGGTTGTTGATAAGACCTATGCGGGGTCGAAATTGCAGTCTACTCCAGTCAGCTTTACTCATACCATTATAGAAAAAATCAAGTATCAGTCCTTCATCACCTTAAGCGAAAGAGGGGAAATACAGCTTATATATCTGATTTACTGGTTGTCTCGAAAACCTACTCACTTATAAAAGAAGAAATCTTTTGCAGATAATTGCATCCCTATCATTTTGTCTGTAAAATTGAGTGTAGCGGATTCGTAAATTAGCCTCATCAGAAAGCGAAGGAGGATTTCTTGGAGCTATGATTGCTGTTTTGTTCTAAGAAGACCTCGGCTCACCTCCCTGAATCTCCATAAAGTCTTTTTGACAGACATCGTCAGAGCCAGACCAGCTCAGTCCCTATTCATTGGTGTCGCAGAATGGTGAGCCGAGACCCTTTTGGCCATATCTAGCAGCCACAACTCCAAAGCAGTCCAATTATATATACCCTTCCGCCCGTCTTTTATAGAGAGATGCTATGTCAACCTCAATGTATAAACCAATGCTTGGGCACCCAGCTTATCTTCATATTATAAACGTTGTTAAGGCTTTTCTGCATGGATATGGAAGATTTATATCCACTGCAATCCATTCACGCATTAATCAGCAGACCTTGTTTCTCTGAGCAATGAGTATGTTCCAAACTTTAAGTAAGTTGGACTGCAACTACATTAAATTATTTGATACTAATTCACACGCGTTTTATCTTGCAACAGCATATGTCTCCTCATGAAAATGTGAAAATACTATATAAACTAAAAGAGGTAGGCGCAAGCCATGCCTCCAAATTTCTATTTTTTTATTATTGTTTCGTTCTTGCTTTCTTACTTGCTAGATAACGCTTTATTTTTTGCTCTTCAGTATCATTTTATCTTTTACTTAATATTGCTGAGGATTTATCCGTTGAATTGAAGATGCACAACAAGGGAATCATTTCTTTGCTTTGCAGTTGCTTGGATAGGGACAATTTCGAACTTCTTATTCTGGTCGTCTCATTCTTAAAGAAATTGAGCATCTTCACAGAAAATAAAGATGACATGGTATGACCGTAATTGCTAACATTACGCTGTCCTATATCGTTTAATAAACACTTTAGATTTTTTTTAATTTTTTCATCAATATTATCCTATATTCTGACTAAGATCTCCTTTCATCCTTGCTTTTTTTTAATTTCAAAGCAGAATGAAGATTATTATCACTAAGTTCAATGTTGGTGTGGTTTTATTGGCAATGACAGTGATTCTACTCCTAGTGAATTTATAATAAGCTTGCTTTTGCCT